CATTGTAAGAACATTGGATATCACTATTTTCAAATGCTTTGTGATTTGATGCTTTCTTACTCTGTCAAATGAAGCTTTAGAACTTGGAACAACCCTTATTATATTCTACACAGTTAAATGGTAGTTGCCAAACCAAGTTGGTGATCCTTTACCCTCAGTAGCATGCATAAGGGATGTTCTCATTCACTAGAGAACAATATATTCATGAACTTGTTCCCATCCTGCTTTTAATAAAATCCTTTTTTTTTTTTTCAAGACAGTGTTTCTCTGTGTAACCCTGCCTGTCCTGGAACTTGCTCTGTAGACCAGGTTGGCATTGAACTCGGAGATCTACCTGCTTCTGCCTCCCAAGTGCTGGGTTTAAAGGCATGCACCATCACCATTAACAGCCCAGTTAATAAAGTCTTATTAATATCGACATTTTTATAATGTAGCTGGTGGATGGCTGTCTAGAATTACACTTCTCCCCATGTCTACTTGTTCACTTATTCTCTCTCAAAAGCCTCAGTCACAAAATAGAAACTGGCTCCGCGCTAATGGGGGTTGGCATCTTTATGACCTTCTGGAATTTGCACTCACACTTGGCTCATATTCCTTCCTCATTTTACCAAATTTTAGATGAGCACATATTTAAATATCCATCCATTTATATGTCTGTCTATACATGTTCACAGTCCTTTGGTTATATCTTAAAATTGGAAGAGCTGGCAGTTGTATACCATTGATAGAGTTGGGAAGTAGGTTTTGCTCATACCCACAAGTTAAAGTCTTGAATTTTTGTTCTTTTGAGTTTACCATTTGCTTTCAGTGACATAAAAACGTCAAAGTAATTCTATCCATATTTGCTTTCTGTAAAAGTTGAAATTAAATTATTTCCTGAAGTTAGTCATATGCCTGTGAAATCAGTGGCCATCCATTTCTCCTCAGCTGGTGTCTACTGTGCTGTTTTTCCACAGACGTATTTATTATTTCTGTAATCTGGAGCACTGTGTTGTTGAGCCAGTCGGATCAGTGCCTTTGTGGCTCTCTGCATTGTTTGGGGTGTGTGTGTGTGTGTGTGTGTGTGTGTGTGTGTGTGTGTGTGTGTGTGTACCGAACTTTCTGAGCTTTAAACAGAATCCCTTACATGTTTTAACTCTTTGCAGTTCTGGTCTTTTCACAGTTTTATATCAGAGGATGTCTTCTGATCCAGCAAATGAATTAGGCTGTTCATGTTGTCTCCAGATTTTTAAAAAATAATTTCTTCAAACACAAAACAAAGCAACAACAAAAAGTCCTCTATAGTTCGTTATCCTGTTCTTTGTTCAATTGGAAAATGCTCATTGTGAACTTAGTATCATGGCATAGAGTGTGATGGTGGTAAATAGAAATCTAAACTGAGAGTTACTCAGAGTGTAGCATGAGTTAGCAGTGTACTGTGGGGCTTGGTTAGGTCAAATTCTCAGGATGGGGCTAACCATTTACGTTTGCTGTGGTTGTTTATGCTGCTATGTTTAAAAATAACATCATTTCTTTTACTGTTTCCCTTTGTTCATATGGGTGCATTGGGCCCAGAGCAGAGAAAGTAAGATTTTCTAAATTTAAACACCAACATTCAGCATCTGCTATTGAATCTAGACATTTCCTGGAATTAAAGAATTCGTATAAAACTGTATGCCTCTTTTTTAAAAGGTTTATTTTACACACACACACACACACACACACACACACACACACATATATATATATATGACAGAGAGAGAGGGAGGGGGAGGGAGAGAGAGGGAGGGAGGGAGAGGAGGGAGGGAGGGAGGGAGAGAGAGAGGAGAGAGAGAGAGAGAGAGAGAGAGAGAGAGAGAGAGAGAGAGAGAGAGTGTAAGTACTTGTGGAGGCCAGAAGAGGCCACTGAATACCCTGGGGCTGAAGTTGTGTTGTGAGCTGCCTGAAGACAATATGAGTTTTGGGAGTAGACCTTGGATTCTCTGGAAAAGAAGAATGTGCTATTAATCACTTGGCCATCTCTCCAGACCGTAGACCTCTTCCTTTGTCAGTATTCATTGTGAGGACCTAGGAGAGTGCAGCTTACTTTCTTCATTAGCTCAGCTAATGAGATTAATGAAGTCAAGAAACAGTAATGTAAAGCAAGTTTTAATGTAAGCAGTTTCTGTAAATACTGTGTTTTGGTTTTTGTTTATGAACATGTTTAATATAAACTGTGACAGGTCACTTTTTTAAGGCAGTATAGATCATTGTGTATCATGACACATGCTCAAGAGCTGTGGACCTGCTTTCTCAAGTAAAACTTCATCAGAACATAACTGTCAGATCAAGGACTGAAATGAGGCTAAAAAGACATATAAAGATCTGGACAGCAAAGCCCTGAGAGCACCAAGTAGTCCCCACCTCCTGCTCCCAGTGCTACCAGCAGCCTTGGAAGGAAGTACTGTTGCCATAGCTGATCTTAGTCATTTTCAACATGACCTCAACCATGAGCAACATGATTGAGGCACTCAGCATGGCACGATGGGCACAAAAATGTCACTGTAATGAAAGTTTGCAAACAACAAGATGGTTCCATATAACAGGCATATGGTTCTGGGGAGGTGGCTCAGTGGGCAAAGCAAGTGTGAGGATCTGAGTTCAAATCCCCAGAATCCACATGAAAGCTGATTGTGGTGGTATATCTGTAATCCTAGTGCTTCTGGAGATGAGAGGTGGAGACAACAAATTTCCCAGAACCTTACAGGCCAGCTAGCCTGCTGAATGCAGCAACAAAAAGAGAGGTCTCATCTCAGACAAAGTAGAAGGCAAGGACTGATACCTGAAGTTGTTCCCTGATCTCCATGCATACCCCTGCATTCACACAGACACACAGACACACAGACAGAGATAGACATATATGGTTTCACTCACAGGATACCAATAGATGTAACTTGTTGACTATATTGTCACAGAGAAGAATAACCCCCAAGGAACATCCTTGCAACAAAGAGGATAGAACATTTGTGGAGTTCTGCATTGTTAGAGAAAGGGTGTACAGGCAGCAAAGATGCAGGCCCTGGTAGAGTTCTAATGGTGGGATCTAAATGCATAGCACATTGTAACCATAAGAGAGATTATCTGTGGCATGGGACCTTGCACATGGTCATCAGAAGAAGGAGCAAAATAATGTAAATGGGCCTATGTGACTTTTCTTCACCTTAGATAGGGCTCTGGTAATGGGCCAAAGAAACAATTCTACTGGTGTAACTTAGTGAACCAGTGAGTTTAATTGGGGGTTATTTATAGGATCATAAATGAAAGGGTTACCTATACGAGCATGGGCAACTTAGAGACAGCTGCACCACTGAAGAAGAGTGCCCCACACCCCGAAATTATTATAGATATCCTGGTGGGGGAGCAGCTTCCATAAGGGTGTGTTTGTTGGCCTAATTTTGTGAGGATCTTGTGTGAGTAATCACAGCTGCTCTGATTTCAAGTTGGCAATATCCATATCACACCTGGAGGACAGAGTTCCACTGCAAAGGGATTGTTCACTGCCCCTAGGACCGACTAGGAAGCACTAGGACCAACTCTACACATGACTTACTTCCTGGTTCATGCAGAGGACCCCTAGATGTTTATCAGGGTTCTCACAGCCTCCTATGAGGGAGAGTTGATAGAGACTGATAATGTTATCAGACCTTTTTGCCGGAGCAGCAATGAAGATCAGGAAAATAAAAAGATGTGACCAGCAGCCACCTTGCTGTAGGTAACTCACAACTTCACTTACCAGCAGATACTCAGAAGGCCTGAACCAAGATAGCATGATAGTGCCAGCTGAGGAGCATGTTCCCAAGGCTGAGCAGAGCAGAGCTGAGCAAATTCTGGCTGGCCATCTCTGCTGTCATCTGATTTGGCACTGGATGTGAAGAAACAAATGGAAATTCATCCATAAGACCTGGCTAGAAGATTAACAATGAAGAAGTACTTGTCTTTTGCCTGTTTTCCAGATAACTTGAAGCATTTGCATTATGGACTTCTTCATTTTCTTTAGATAACTTTTTGATAATGATAAACATGCTTTTTAAAATTAAGTCTGACTTTTCTTATTCCTTTAAGGTTTTAAGGTTGTTTCACAGTTGGTCAGAATGAGATTATTAAGAACACTGTTTTAAATGTGTAGACTCAAAAAGCAGCTCCCTGGCCCCTGAATCATGACTACTTAAACTTACACTGCAACATTTAGCCTCCCAGTGGGTATAATTACTTTCTCCATGATCCTCAGTGCTTGGAATGACCTAAGAAAAACTATTTCTTTTTCCCTCTTTTTTCTCTGGTGTGTGGCAAAGCATGTTACATTTATAGCAACTAAAAATTCCAGTGGCTTGGTCCTCCCTAGCAGATGGCAGCAGGACTGGTTTGAGGGATGCTCTAGGGAAAACAAAGGCTTAGTAGTTCTTCCTTATTCTGTTCAGGGCAGAAAATGTCACATTTTTTCTCCACCTCATACTTCTCTACTAAAAGCCTGAGAAATGAGACATGAAACTGTTCATGGGGCCATATTAACCACTGTTCTCTTTAATCCTTCCAGTGACTGAGGGACTTAAATCATCAGGGTTATCACTTCTATACTTTCTGTTCTGCCACATAACTGGCTTTTGTAAAGTTCAACTATGATTTTTATTAATGTTTAAAACTCTAGGATAGGCAATCTGGAAATCTCAGCATCTGCCCAGAGGTAGTAGATTGAGAAGAGGAAGAGAGAAAGCCATGCCTTTTTGAGTTAGGCATGGAAGTTGGGCAAGCAGCCACATGGCAAAAGGGAGGTAGGTTCGAGTGAAAAAGAATACCAGAGAAAGCATACTTAGACTCATGCCAGTATCTGAAAGAGAGAAACAAAAAAGAAAAGGGAAAATGGCTTTTCTGAGTTATTCAGAAAAGTGGACAGGTTTAGCCCAGCTGCATGGCTGCACCTCCATAAATGACTGTATAGTAAATCAGGACTGATTTTTCTTTTTATGTGTGACACCCTATTTCAGGGCTCATTGTTGGAGTGATCCTGAGGTATGGAACCCCTGCTACCAGCGGTCATGACAAGTCACTCAGCTGTACTCAGGAAGACAGAGCCTTTAGCACCTTATTAGTGAATGTCAGTGGGAAGTTCTTTGAATACACTCTGAAAGGAGAAATCAGCCCTGGCAAGATCAACAATGTGGAGCAGAATGACATGCTGCGGAAGGTGAGCTGTGAGCTGGTACCACGGCTGTCTGGGACAAGGTTGTTGATTCCCTGGCTTCATCTTTTTTTTTTTTTTTTTTCGAGACAGGGTTTCTCTGTGTAGCTTTGGAGCCTGTCCTGGAACTCACTCTGTAGACCAGGCTGGCCTTGAACTCACAGAGATCCGCCTGCCTCTGCCTCCCAAGTGCTGGGATTAAAGGCATGCGCCACCACCGCCCCAGCTTCCCTGGCTTCATCTTGACCTTGAGAGAAATCCTTCCCAACTGTTGGAACATCAGTTACATTCTTGGCTCACAGTGTTCTAGGGTGCTTGTGCGTCAGGATGAGGAGAAGGAAGAGCCAAATTGTACCTTTGTTGCTTCAGCCTTCTGACTGTCTTAACTGGCTAGGATCTATAGACATGGGCTGTTGTCTGTGGAACATGTTTGCATATCCCTCTTGCCCTGTTTTCTCTTAACCTTGCTGAGGCTTAGAAATGAATTATAAAATAATATTAATTTCCCTTTTAGCTTAGTCAGTATTCTGAACTACAATTCTTCGTTCTTCATGGCTTTCTACACATAGTCTGCAAATATTTGACTGCTTAAACTTATTAATGACTGATGCCAAAGACTTACCTAATCTTCAAAAGAAGAAAGGCTTGTTTTAGAATTTAAGTCCAAGCATTGTTTTCTAATTAAAAAAAATCCATTTTATTTTCTTTTGTGATAGTGTCTTAAAATGTAACTCAGGCTGATCTCAAATTTACAGTCTTCCTGCCTCAGCCTCCTGAATGCTAGAATTATAGGCATTCTTCACTATGCATGGCTCAAGCATTGTTTTTCATTTGATTATGGAGCAGCAAAAATGCTTCAGGAAAAAAAAAGATTATGTGTCTCTCATGTGGGTGATTTCTGGGATAGGCAAGAAATCAGTATTAAAAGATTTATTCATGTGGGTAGATTAATTGACTTTTATTTCAGTTAATCATTTTAAATATTTAGCCTACCCGTTCCTCCTCCTAAAAAGGTTAGCATGTTTAGAAATGCTTAGTTCCTTTGGCTGTACTATGATTGGCTGTGTAGAAATGTCAGTGTGAGTTCCTTATATCAACAACTGATTTCAGTCTCTGTAGAGTTACTGAACTTCTGTTGATGATCAGGAAGCTGCAGACCTCATTGGTAACTTTGGCTAGGCCACATGAAATATTTCAGAAGGCTGTTCACTCAAAAGAGGCTTAAATATAGTAGAATTACATCTATAAAGGATCACATAAATAGTCTGGGAAGTTAATAAAAACTCATGACAGCGTTTTTATTGCAATTAAGCCTTCATGAATGTGTGATAAAAATCAAAATGTTTTTATTTTCTGTTGAAAAACATTGGCAGCAGCTTTCTGTGAATTTCTGAAATTGCCTCAAACTGTTGTGACTTAATATGTATTAAGACAGAACACTGGAATCTTATTTAGAAGTGCTGGGGGAGGGGGAGATGGAGAGGGAGAACATGCCAGTCAGTAGGGAAATTGTGGCTTCATTGCTGTAATTATTTAACACATTAGTGGCTTTTGTTCTAAATAGGCACTTTAGTCAATGGCTTTCAATATTAAATAAATATTATCAGTTTATCTTTAGCAAAAATTTAACGTTTTTCCTTTTAAACTTTCAGGTAACATTTGATCCAGAAGTATTTTTCAACATTCTGCTGCCTCCAATTATTTTCCATGCTGGATACAGTTTAAAGAAGGTATGAACATTTTGCCAATAATTTAAGAGATTTCTTAAGAATCTCAGTGTTAATTGACTTAGATAATTTTCTAGTTTTCCCCTTAAACACTCAGCTTTCTGTGTTCTGTACCCACTCAGAGACCATAGGTGGCTCATCATCAGGGACTTTAAAACCTAGAGCTCTTCCATACCACCAGTAGAAATGTAACATTGTATAGCCACTTTGGCAAGCAAAGTGATAGTTTCTTGTAAAACTGAAGTCAAACTTGTCTTAAGGCCTAACTACTTCACTGCTGAGGATTTCTTGAAGAGAAAGTAAATTTATGTTCACACAAAAATCTATGCCTCATTCTTCATACTATCCTATTTGTAAGACAAAACCAAAAATCAACCAAAATGTCTTCCTGTAGGTAATGGTTAAACAAACTGTAGTAAATCTACACCATAGAAAAATGCTCAGCTTTCACATGGAAAAAAATGTTTGATGTACAATCTGGATAGACTTATAAGGAATTACGCTGAGTCACATAATCCAGATTCAAGGTTATATGCTGTATTATTTTATTTATGTAGCATTACAGAAATGACAAAATTATATAGCTAGAGAACAAATTCATGGTTGCTTGGATTAGGCATGATGGAAAAGTAGAGTTTGGGGAGAGAGACCACAAGGGACATTTTTGTAGTCATGGAATATTTCTGTATGTTAAACAGTGTTTTTGTGGTGCCAAGGATGGGATGCAGAGCCTTGCATAGATGCTAGATGAGTGGTATACTCCAGGCCAGTTCTGTATCTTGACTGTGGCAGTAGTTATACAGTCTGCACATGTGATAAAATTACATTGACATTGTACCAATGTCAGTCTCCTGGGTTTGGATACTTTCCTATAGTTACACATGATGCAGTCAGTGGGGGAAAGTGGATGAAGTGTACACAAACCCTTACTATACTGTCTTTGCAACTTCAGGAAATCCATTGTTAGTCCAAAAATAAAAAAGTTTAAAAAAACTTAACTATCCCCCTTATTGAGGATTATTGAGGATTATTGAGGATTATTGTACTTGATGGCATCTTAAGCCCAAACTGCTGTTTATTTGAAAAACCAAATATGTTTACAAAACATAGGTAAATCTCTCTCTCTCTCTCTCTCTCTCTCTCTCTCTCTCTCTCTCTCTCTCCTCTCTCTCTCTCTCTCTCTCATTGTGGGAGTATTGTGTGAAGATTATCTCCCCAAAGGCCTTCTTAGGACAGCAGCCTATTTCAGCTCCAAAGGAGGACTGGAGACAAACCTTCCAGGCCTAGAGAACAGAGAACAGAGATCTTGGCTGACAGTAAACATAGCATCTTTATGAACTAGAAAATAACTTCTAAATGGAGAAACTCTGGATAGATTAATTGGGAAAACTATATTAGGAACATAAGAGAGGGTATCACTATAGAATTTCAATCAATAATAAAGGAGTACTCAGAACAATTTTGTGCCAGTAAATTGTATGGGGAGGGAGAAGTCAATCTCAGGTGTGATTCTTCAGGTACCATACACTTCATTTATTTTTGAGACATGGTCTTTTACTGGCCTGAAACTCTCCAAGTAGGCTAGACTGGCTGGTTAGGGAGTTCCAGGCATCTGCTTTTATCAACCTCCTCAGCACTGGGATTACAAGTGTGCACCACCATGCCCACCTTTTCTTTTTCGTGTGTGTGTGTGTGTGTGTGTGTGTGTGTGTGTGTGTGTGTGGTGTGTCGTGTGTACACACGAGTATGCAGGTATATGTACCTGTTTGCACACATGCAGAGGCCAGAAGAGGATGTCAAATGTTTTCTTCTGGTGCTCTCTGTCTTGTTGCATTGAGATAGGGTTTTTCATGGAACCAGAAACTTACTGTTTGGCTAGGGTGGCTGACCAGCAAGATCTCATGAGCCTCTTGTCTTCTGCCTGCCAATGCTAGGGTTACAGGAACACACAGCTGTGCCCAGATTTTTCATGTGTGTTCTAGGGATTCAAATTCAGGTGCTTGTACTAGCAAAGCAAGAGATTTTACCCCTGAGCCATCTTCCCAGCCCCCCCCCCCCCAGCCTTTTGTTTTATGTGGATGTTGCAGATCATATCCAGGTCTTCATGCTTGTATCAGGAAGCACTTTATAGACTAAGGTGTCTTCCTAGCTCTTGTACTAGTAAATTTGACAAGTGACATGGGCAGATTCACAAATAAATAAAACTGACGAGATAATATAGAAAACCTAGACAGCTCTATATTAAACAAAAAACTGAATTAAGAATTAAAAACCTACTACAAACCTTACATGGCTTTATTAGTGAACTCTACCAAGCATTTAAGGAGGAAATAAAATCATCCCTGCAGAAGTTCTTTCAGAAAATAGAAGACAGAACACTTCTCAATTCCCTTTAGGAGAGGATGCCTGCCCAACAGACTAGATTTTCTGTCAAAGCTACTCCTTGGTTTTAAACCATTTATGGAGCATCAGTTAGGTACAGTGACTCAACATACTTATTTCTGTTTATATATCTATATGAATTTTCATGGAAACTATAAGAAAATAATGATGGTTGAACATAGACACAGGAGTTAACTCATGATTCAACAATTAGTTTATGATTCAAAGTCCCTGGCAAACATATTAGAGTATGAAGTTTAGCTCTTAGTAATGGTACTCCATAAGTACTTCATGAATTGAAGATAGAGACAGTGGCCTTTTAGCTACCAGTCTAGTCAGTCAGAGGTAAGGAGGATGAAATGGAGAGATCCTAGAAACTGCTGTGCAGGACAAGGGCTGCCTCATTCATTCACAGTATGGAGACTGGAGGAACAAGAACAGTTATATGCCTAGTACAAAAGGGCTAAGGTCAAAGTCAAGGTCAAACAAGTGTTCCTTTCATAGATCAAGTGAGCCCTCATTACTGCATCACTCCTGGGACAATAGAGGAACATCAGAGGGCTGGGCTGCTGGATACCTGAGGAACAGGAGGCCCTCTGTTTCTACACACACATTTCAGAATGTAGGAAGGTCCTGCAATTCATTGATGTTGAAAACACTCAGAATGATGAGTGCTGTAGGTGAGGGTATGCAGTCTATATAAAACTAAATCAAAGCTAGGTCTTCTCTGTTGAACTCCAGGTCCAGGGTTGCTCCTTTGTGCTACATTGCCTCTAGATGCAGGTTTTCCATCTAAAACATCCCAAACATACAAATTTTCCAAATTGTTTATATAGTTGTCAAAGTAATCTGAATCTTTGCATCATTTATTGACCCATAATAAATAGGAAATGGTTATTATAGGTATAATATCATTTTTACCCTCAGCGGAAAATTTGGGAACTTTTCTTTGGATCAAATGGGTGATGAATAATTTATTTTAAATAACTAATCTTAACATATAATCAAAGTCATAGTTGCTTTAAAATGAAAGCAAATCATAGGTTATGAAAGCCTCTCTAATGGTTGAAAACATTTTGGAAGAACCTTCCCTTCATCAGCTCTGTTTTCTTAAAAGAAACCCAAATAACAAGCTTTGTCTGTTACTAGTTTAACTTGTTTTTGACACTATAGTCTTCTGTGTTACCAACCATTAGTGTTTTTCTTTCTTAAACAGTACTTATAAAGTCACCAGGTAAATGGTTGATATTGTGCTTGCCATTTCTGATTGTATCTATTGTTGATTAAATGGGTAATAAATATTTTACCATTTAACTGATGGTATATGAGTAGATACATTTGGATCATTTGATACATGTATGTTCTGTACATCTCTGCAGACACTCATCTTTTTTCTACCTTGAAAAAGTTACTATTGGATTTACCCTTGATTTTGTGCCACTGTTTGTGTTTATAGGGCACTTGTATTGGAAAAATCATCTAGACAACTTTTCTGTGACCATCTCACACACACATATGCACACATGCACACACACACACACACACACACACACACACACACACACACACACACACATATACCACAGATGATGGGCTTGGGAGAGAATTGCTTCCCCAGCAGAGGAATGTAAGGTTGAGAATGATACATTACTAACTGGGATGTCCAATGGATTTCTCCAAAAGTGAACCTCCTTCTGGTCTGTGCTGGGCTTAGATTCTTGAAGACTTTACTTGGGCATGCCACTATCTCCTTTTGTTCCCTCTGCTTGTCATTCTGTGCCTGAGAGAGAAGAGCAGGGACCAAACATGACTATATTGTAGACACATAAAAAATAGGAAGAAAGGTCTAGTATTTAATTCAGTAACTCATGTCCTTCCCTTTTCTTCACAAAGCAGAGTAGTGGAAATTGAGAAAGTCATGCACCTGAAGTCCAGAGACTGGGTCTCCAGTTCCTGGTCATAGTTTTGTAAACCATGTAATAGAACCTTAGATTTTTCTCATGTAAGATGGTTCAAGAGCTGGATATGGCAGCTCATGCCTATAATCCCAGCACTGGGGAGGCTAAAGCAAGGGGACTTTCACTAGTTTAATGCCAGCCTGGGCTACAGGGTGAATTCCCCTGTCTAAAGAACAAAACAGCAACTGATAATTTAGCTCATTGGTAAAGCACTCATCTAACATTCACAAGATCCCAAGTCAATCTCCAGTATGGCCAAAACAAACAAACAAACAAACAAACAAACAAATTAGAATGAAACCCCACTGGGTTGCTGTGAGAATTGGATGAGCTTATATTTATGAAAATACTTTGTATATTATGAAATGTGCATTTAAGTGCTTATATAATATGCAAGCCAAGTGGCATATCTTTTCAAAATAAAAATTTAGTTCAGTAGGTTTGAATAAGAAATGAACAATTTGTGTGTGGTGGGGAAAGGAAAGATTGAGATTCTGTAATATATTATGAATGCATTTTTGTAGATTTACATTTCTGATTTTTGTGCTTTAGCTAGTATTGTAAATGTCAGTTCATCTAATCTGTGTTTCTATTAGCCCTGGGAATAATTGCTCATAGGAAAGCTGAGTGTTCCTACTCTAGTTGGCAGTGTGAACCTGGGAGAATGGAGCCTAAAAATGAGATAGACTAAAGTCTCATGCAACAGCCAACTTTATTAGAGCATCAGATAATTTATGTTCTGAGGGTTAACATGATGGCTAATATTATGCTAACTTGACACAAGCCAGAGTTATCTAAAAGGAGGTAACCTTGATTAAGAAAATGCCTCCATAAGATCCAGCATAAGGCATTTTCTAAAGTAGTGATCAATACTGGGAGGGCCCAGTCCATTGTGGGGGTGGCCACCCCTGGCCTGGTGGTCCTGGACTCTATAAGAAAGCAAACAGAGCAAGCCAGGGGAAGCAAACTAGTAAGCAGCACCCCTCCATGGCCTCTGCATCAGCTCCTGCCTCCAGGTTCTTGCCCTGTATGGGTTTCTGCCCTCACTGCTTTTAATGATGAACTGTTATATGGAACAGTGAGCAAAATAAACCCTTTCCTCTCCAATTTACTTTGGTCATGGTGTTTCATTGCAGCAATAGTAACCTTAACTAAGACAGTTAAGCAAGGTCACATGAGCAAAGTTTACATGACTTCAAGCTATATACAAATTCAAGGATAGGCCATGCTTGGAAAAATTTTTTTGAATAACAAAAGTAAGATAATGGATAATCTGAAGTAAACCCACTCCTGTTTACTACACCTGGGAGGGGCACAAAAGCACATTCCAAGAACAAACCAATGTTTAGAAGGAACAGAGGTCACAAGACTCTTGTCCTGTTTTCTTGGAGTTATCTCACAAGCTCTCAGAATTCTTCTCACACAGCTCCATTCTTAGACCATGTTCCAACACTGAGTACAAAGCACAAGTGTGCATGTGAGATTGCAATTTATATATGGATATGTCATCTGAATGACATTGGTCCTAGCATTTCCTCATATAAGCCCTTAATGGAACTTAAAAAAATCATTATAGCTCGGTGGTGGTGGTGGTGGTGGTGCATGCCTTTAATCCCAGCACTTGGGAGGAACAGGCAGGTGGATCTCTGTGAGTTCAAGGCCAGCCTGGTCTACAGAGCTATTTTCAGGACAGCCAAGGCTGTTACACAGAGAAATCCAGTCTCGGAAAAACCAAAAGAAAAAAATCATTATACTTTTATTTACTTTGGATGCCTGCACGTGTATATGTAAATGCATGCATGCTGTGATGTAGAAGTAGAAGTCAGAGGACAACTTGTAGGGAAGGTGATGGTATCAGTTTTCTCCTTCCACAGTGGAGGTCTCAGAGATTGAACTCAGGTCATCAGGATGGTGAAAAGTGCCAAAACCTACTGAGCTATCTTACTAGCCTCTTTAATGGTGGTTTAATGGGAATTACAGTTGTTATTTTTGAAATCTAACCTCTACCCCCAAATCTTGATGTATAAATGCAATAGCTTTAAAAAAAAAGACTTAAGACAGAGTCAAGTATAATATGTTCATGCTCTGTTCAGGCAGCATCTTCACGTGGTGACTGTTGGCATGACATGCCCTTGAAGGATTCTCTTCTGAGTAGTTCACTTACTGAGCAAGTCATTTATGAGCAGTAAATACTCTTTTTGACATCTGAGCCTCAGAGGAGCAAGCATTGTGGAAAGATGAGAAACAGGGTCTTGGACCCTTTGAGACACAGGGCAGATGACAGCTGCAGTCCTTTGCTCATATGGCCTGATGCCACTGTGCTCTCTTTTCCTGATGTTGCTCAGCTGGCATTCTGGGTCTTTGTTACCTTTAAAAATAGTGACTAAGGTTTTGATGATCCTTGTTTAATTAGGGTGTTTGGAGGATTTTGCTTGTCTGTTTTTTATTAAGTAGTTCTGAATCTCAAATAGGAATTGCTTTTGCCTGTTGGTAAAAGATCTTAAGAACAGGCATAACCTTCCTCCACCCGCATCAGGAGACCCTATGGACCTGTAAGAAGTGAGTTTATGTGCATATGTGTTTGTGGTGTTCATTTTGAAGGTAACTTTTGAATATGCAGAACCCCATCAAAGGGATATTGTAGTCTTGCAACTTTCTGAATAATCACTACATTTTAACATTGGTTGTAAGTTTTTTTTCTACACAAACTTGACCATCTTGAATTGAATTCATTACCATTCTCATTTCTCCATTCCCATCTCTATTGTCTGTCTTTTTCAGGCTCTGAAGAGTAAGCCAGATGAATATAAGGAAATATCTCAAGTCCCATGAGCATGTATTTAGGAATCTGTTTTCTGCTATCAAATTAAGTAGAAAGTTTCTCAGATGACACTTTCCCATTTATTTGTTTCAGACTTACACATCTTTAATGATCTTCTAAGATTCCACTAGAGCAGGAAGTAACTGGCAGGACTGTAGAATAAGCTGGTTTGTGTCCAGTCTCAAAAAATAATTGGGTTACATATGTGTGTGTGTGTGTGTGTGTGTGTGTGTGTGTGTGTGTGTGCGCGCGCGCGCGCGCGCATATACATACACTTAATACAGTTAATTATAATTAGCCAGAATTGTTTTGTTTGAAATGTATCAGGTTCCTGGTAACTTGCTCAGTGATTGACAGTGCAGAGGATATTTTAAAATCATGACGTTTAAGGCTGAATAGCATTATTTGTGATTGACTACTGATATTACTAGATATATAAACAGTATAGCATACTAGGTTTTAGAGTCTTTTAATGTGAAGTTTTTGTTTATATGTTTGATTTTTTTTGGCTTGCTGACAAGAATTACTATAATCCCTATTTATTGTTTTATTCAGAGACACTTTTTCAGAAATCTTGGATCGATTCTGGCCTATGCCTTTTTGGGGACGGCTGTTTCCTGCTTCATTATTGGGTAAGTGATTCTTTGTTGTATAACCAGTCTAACATACTACCCAAAGGAATGAGATTCACCAATATGGTGCACAAAGCAGGATTTTAGTGTTGTGTGAGGATGGCAGTTAGGATACAAAGTTATCCTTTCTAGTATGGTAGTTATTAGCTATATGTGTGCATTAAATTTAAATTAAGAATGATTAAACTGAACTAAAATTACTAGATCATAATTTCTTATAGCATTCTCTGATTAAAAAAAAAAGAACCAGTGCCTCTTATTCTAGGGCTGGAACAGGAAACTTACATGAAGATGGAGCATCTTTTAATATCAGAAAGTAAGCAAATGCTCAAAAGACAGACAACCATAAAGATATAAGACATGTCAAAGGAACCCAAAAGCCAACCTGGAAGTTCTCACCATAGACAGAGCCCATAAGTGGCTGAAACATAACAAAATAAATAACTTTCTATTAGATTATCATATAGAGTATAAAATAAATATTCCTGAGCCCACACATAGATGATTTAATGAAGAAATAAATGAGAGACACATTTCATGTGCCAAATTGTAGAAAGTGTTATAGATACATCCCTTCAAAGTGGTAGAACTTAGTCACACCATCCCCAGATCTTCATCCCAACCTAGCTTTGAGTGTGGGCTGTATGTTGTAGCTTCTTATAAAGAGTATAGTGCAGAAAGTAGGGGAAGAAGAGAGTAGCCAAAAAGTAGAGAACATGGAAGATAATACAAGCCTTGTTGCTATTATATATCCTTGAGATTTGTGCTACGAAGGGCACTTTACCTCCCTGGCCATTTACCCCAAACATATCACCTTTGTCTGGAGAAAAAGCCAAAGAAATCTCAACTGAAGGGTACCCTGCAAACTTTCTGATCAGCATTGCTCAAAATTGCCAAGGTCATCAAAAACAAGCAGTGGATGAGAAACTGTCATAACCAAAAGGAGACCAGGAGATTTAATGACCAAATGCCATGTGGTACCTTGGATGGGATCTTGGAGTAGGAAGGTGATATTTTAAAAAATGCCCAAGCAAATCTGAATGTAGTAAGAACTTTAGCTTTAAAAAATTAGTTGGAAAGCTGAGAAAAAGGCAAGGCAAGGACCTTCTACTCTATTCTGTAAAAGGAGGGTCTTGGAGTTTCTCTTTAATGAGGTGACAGATCACTGAAGAATACCAGGTTCCATGCATTAATGATGATGGGAAGCAAGATGGAGGTAAGGCTGTCAGATGAAAATGTACCACCTAGGTCTAGGATTTTAGTAAAAAGAAATGGAGAAGAAAGTCTCCTTTCAAGAAATATTTGAAAGGTGTGACCATGAAAGAAACCTTTGATAACCAGTGAAGAGCAAATTAGATCTGTTCCATAGAGCTGTCATGGACTGAAGTTGAGCTGATTGGAGCAACACCTGAACACATACTAGGCAAGCATTAAGTTCTAGCTAATTCTTCTCATAAGGATTCCATTCTGCAGTGCAAACAATTCTTTCACCCCCAGCTTAGCCAATCCACTGCTCTAGGCACTAAATACATAAGGGAAGGCAGTGACATGGTCCTTACCATCACAAATCTCATTAAATGGTTGGCTTTAGTGTACATGGAATTAATTCTATGTTATTTTTATTCTTTTAACCCTTGCAATTGCTGTTATTACTGGTACATGCACACAGATACATACACACATGTGTAGTACACGGTAGGCTGTTTTTCAACACTCATTGCTGTTTCTAATTATAATCTGCCACATAGGTAGTTTGCTCCAGGCAGGCTGAAATATTGAACTTGATGGTCCCATGTCACATTCTGTCCACTGTGAGGGGCGCTATATAGCTAACCTGCCTCACCCAAGGAGGGCAAGAGGCCAGGTATGTCAGTGGGGACACTGGTGATCTACTAGGACATTTCAATAAGGTTGTATCTTTACCTTCTTTACACTACTTCTTGATGGAGATATTAGTAATATAAGTCTCTCCAGCTTCACCCAGCCCCCTAATTTTTATGACTTGAGATATACTATCTTACAATTCTACATTTGTAGTGATTTATTATACATTATTTCAGGCTCTATCTTCCATTCTCCTCTATCACCCAGTTGCTTAAGATCCTTTAACTTCATGACTCATCAAAGACCATACCTCACAGCTGATATAGTTGTTAATGAGAACAACTTTTAAGAATGAAATCTTCAGGGGCTGGGGATGTAACTCAGTTGGTACAGTTTACCTAACATGCACAAAGCTTTGTGTGGTGGTGGTTTATATCTGTAATTCCACAACTTGGAAAGCAGAGGCAAGACAATCAGAAGTTCCGGGCCATAATTGAGTAGATCAGAAGTTGAGGGTCATCCTCTGCTACATAGCAAGTCAAGGCCAGATTAGTCTACATGAGACTCTCTCTCAGTGCCCCACCCCCATGCACACACACAAAAGCAACAATAGCAAAAGAAATACTCAGATGCTTCTGCAAGATAATAACTACAAAAACCATTCCTTAGTGCCAAAGTTCTATTTGCTTAGGTTTCTGGTAAGTGTCCAACCATAAAAGCTGCCTATTGCTTTCCTGAATCTCCCTTAAAGTACGATGTTCTAATAGCACTCTGTTATTATGTTTATATGTCAGCAAGATTTTTTTCCCTGACACTGTTTGCCTATCATCTTACAGAAATCTTATGTATGGGGTGGTGAAACTCATGAAGATTGTGGGCCAGCTCTCTGATAAATTTTACTACACGGATTGTCTCTTTTTTGGAGCAATTATCTCTGCCACTGACCCAGGTAATTAGACATTTGGCTTGATCATTATTGTTATTTAAATCTTATGAAGTTCAGAGCAGTCATTGACTTTTTTTGCAGTAGAGAGACTGTGGCATTAATAGATGATAGAGGAAGTAAATAGTAGTTAGATCTAACAGACTTACTTTCTAAGAGAAGTGTATGTTTACTTTCTGTGGTGGTTTGAATAAGGTGTCCCCCACAGTCTCAGACACTTGAATACGTGATCTTCATTTGGTAGTGCTGTTTGGAAGAGCATAGGAGGTGTGGCCTTGTTTGAGGAAGTACATCACTGGAGGTGGGCTGTGAGGGTTTTAAAAGCCTCATGTCCTTGTTAGTTCACTCTTTCTGTGCTTGTGGTTTAAAATGTGAGTTTTCAGTTTTCTCTAGCTACCATATCTAGTACTTGTGGCCACGTGGAGAAGCCATAATGGTAGTAGACTCTTATCCCTCTGGAACCTTAAGCCCTAATAGACCCTTCCTTCTACAAGTTGCCTTGGTCATTTGTTTATCATAGTGGTAGAAAATTAACTAATATACCTTCTTACTGTTTTTATTTTGATAAAATGCACAGCATGCAATTTAGCATCTTAATTTCTGAGCATATGACTCAGTAGTGTTAAGTATTGTATCATTCAGCAACTAATTTCTTGAACTTTTTAATCTTTTTTTTAAAGATTTATTTATTTATTATGTATACAGTGTTCTGCCTGCATGCCCGATCTCATTACAGATGGTTGTGAGCCACCATGTGGTTGCTAGGAATTGAACTCAGGACCTCTGGAATAGCAGCCAGTGCTCTTAACCACTGAGACATCTCTCCAGCCCAACTTTTTTATCTTTTATAACTGAAACTCTAAACTCATATAGCAACAACTGCCCTTTTTCCTTTCTATCCAGCTTCTTTCAACAATCATTCTCCTTTCTGCTCTATGAATTTGACTGCTATAATTTCCTTGTGCATGTAAAATCTTACAGTATTTATCATTTTGTCACTGGCCCATTTCACTTAGCATCCTGCCCTGTCAGTTCATCCATGGTGCAGCATATGCCATGATTTCCTCCCTTTTGAGGTTGAATACTATTTCACATTTTGCTTGTTGAATCACCTGTTCAAGGACACTTGAGTTATCTCTATCTGTATTTCCCTCTTGTCTTTCACTTTAGAATGACTAATGTAGACATACTTTCAGACTTGTGTTCTTTTTCAGCATTGTGCCTTCACCTTCCATTGGGAAACATACCATTTGGCTTGAATAATGATTTTCCTTTATGGAAACAGTTGTATTTATAAACATTTTTGTGCAGAGTTCATACATAACTACCATACTGTGATGTAATTTTTGTAAATCTCTTATCTTGTAGTTTTCAATTGTTAGATGAACCATTTCCTAAAAGTGGAGTTAATGTATAGCCCTTCTCCCTCACACCTCAAAAACAAACAAGATGGTTTGACTGCAAGTTAGAATGTATAAAGCAAAGCAGGGGGCTGGAGAGATGACTCAGTGGTTAAGAGTACTTGCTGCTCATGTAGAGGACCCAGGTTCAATTCCCAGTACTAACATGGTGGCTCACAACCATCCAGTTCTGGGAGACCCACATATAGGGAAAATACCCATACACATAAATTTTTAAAATCCCCCCAAAGTATCAGCTATTTCTTTTTCTAATGTCAGTTATTACAAGTCTTCTCTCCATGTCTATAGATTCAACTCACTGCAGATCAAATGCAGTTTTAAAAAACTCCACATGCATATATGTATTCATGTGTATACATATATATTCCTAAATATAATCACCTGGGTCCATATAATGTTACTCATATATATGTTTTCAGGCCTATGAAAAACGAGACCATGAATTTGAAGGAAAGTAGGGACGGGTATTTGGAAGGAGGAAAGGAAATGGAGAAATGTTGTAATTAAGTTGCAATCTCAAAAATAAACAAAAACAATTGCACATGTACTGAATGTGTACTTTTTTTCTTGTCTTATTCCCTAACCAATAAAGTATAACAACTATTTACATAGCATTTATCTTGTACTATTACAATCAATTTAGCTATGCTTTCAAATGCAACATGGTACACACATCATTTTACATAAGGGACTTCAGCATCCATGGATTTTGGTGTTTGTATGAGGAAGTTCCTGGAACTGATTCCCTTCAGATAATGAGGATTGACTGACCATACATCTTAGAAATAATTTAAGGAGAAAGGATTGGTCTAGTCCTCAAAATGGAGGTATAAAAATCTTGATGTTTCTGTTATTGCTTAGATGTACAGAAGCATACTTGTGTAAAATACTCTCTAATATTCTGAACAGTAATAATCTTAAAGATAGTGATAGTTCCCACTTGACCATGCCCTCTTAGGGTTCCTCTAGATTAGTGTCATTCCACAGATCTTTCTGCAAAGAATGTTCTATATTCTGCTTGCTCAGCCCATTATGATAGACACTGATCATGTGCTGCTACTGAGCATTTGAAATGTGGGGTACTGCAAACTGAAGAACTGAGTTTTAGCTTTCATTTAATATTAAACAATTTAAATTAAGTGACTTCATATGACTAGTGATCACCACATTGAACAGCATGATGCTAGTCAGTTGTGTAGTTCCGAAGAATCTCAGTGTTCCAAAATACAGTAACCTTTCTTATCGCCATATATCATCATAGACACTCTAAATGAGTATTGAAGGATTGGCTGCTTGAGGCAACTTGGTTTGTGAAAAGAAGATGAGATTGTGGAGTCTTAGCGTTAGGGTTAAGCTCTTACTGGGCCAGTCACTGATCAACTGGCTTGGGCCCACTTTCCCTTCTCCCATTAGCATCCTCATCTATAAAGTAGAAGTAATGGTTCCTGTTTCTAATGCTCTTGTGAGAATTAAATGCAACCACACATGCAAAGCACTGAGCATAACATTTGCTGATTATGTTGGTCTCTGTGCACATCTGACTCAGGCAGAGAGTTCTGCTTTCCTAATGTTTGTTTAAAAGATAAATAATAGATCCTCACTACTCAAGCATGCTTCTAAAAAACACCCTGAAAGGTAGCTTTATTTAAGCTTTATGCTTTATGCTAAGCTGTCTGTGACTGTGTTTAGAGGAGAATTTCTTGAGGAATAGATTCTTCAGAAGCCTGAGAAAGCTGTTTATGCTGTCTGAACATATATTACTATTTATGTTTGTGTGTAGCTTTATTACTACCATCTTATTAGTACTATCAACAGTAATATGAGGTGAGTGTGATGAAGATTACAGATACTGTTTTCTGAACTATTAGTGTTGCTTTAGTTAATTGGATAAAAGCCCATTTTTCCAGATTACCTATATAACTGTTTATTTTCATATAATGTGTCTATGCTATGCTATAAAATAATGGAAGGCATTGCCATGTTACATCATTTTTATTTGGCCTCTGAAGATTGTCATAGTAAGAGTTCCATGTAAATAAAAGTTCAGGAAACTTAGAAGTTTAAACTTGTTAGACATTAGAACATTAACTTTAACTGCTTTTTGAATGGATAGCTTTTGAAATGTAGGATGTTTTAAGTGTTTTACTAGCCTCCTAAAAATCTGCTGTTGGAAAACTGCCATAAAAGAGATTGAAACTTGAGTACAGAGTTAGAGGATGGTACTAGAAAACAAACAACAAACAAACTAAAAAGAGGCCCGCTTATGCTTACAGTGAAGTATGACAGTTAACCTACACATTTTACAAAACAGAAGGTTATTCACTGGGCAGCTGAGGATGGAGGTGAGAGAACCAAGTCTCCAATCCTCTTCCCTGAGGATGAGGTGGGGCTCTTTATAGGATAATGGAGCAGGGTAATTTAAGATATGGGGAAATGTGGCTGGAGGTGAAATAATCAGTGGTCTAAACACATGTATAATCAATCTTCATGGGTCTTCATGGAACACATGTTCAGAAAATGGTAATGCTAATATGATGTGAGGGAAGACTAGGTACCTGCGAAAGCCCAAGTGAAGACTTGGTGGTATCAACAAAAATGGCCTTGAAGTTATCACTTAGGTTGCTGCGATTATTGTAACCCTCACATCAGAGATATTAGCTACACAAAACTAGTGTGGGGGTGACTAACTTATAATAATATAGTTTAGTTGTATGAATTCCAAAATTAGTTATTTTAAAACTCAACTGAGCCAGTAGTGGTGGTGGTGCATGCCTTTAATCCCAGTACTCAGGAGGCAGTCAGAGGTAGGCAGATCTCTGAGTTCTAGACCAGCCTGGTCTACAGAGCAAGTTCTAGGACAGCTAGTACTTCACAGAAAGACCCTGTCTTGAAAAAAAAATCAAAAAAGAAAAAAAACCTCAACTGAAAGCAAGTAACTAAGTGGGGGTGTGGAAGGGCAAAATCACAGAAACCAGAGTAAAGTGTTGGTGGGGGATAAATGGGAATTGGCCAGTTGTACTTGCTTGATTGTTTGCTTTTGGAGACAGGGTCTCATTGTAGACCAGGATGGCTTAGAACTCACTGTGTAGCGCAGGCTGATCTCATTACTGCCTTGACCTTCTGAATGCTGGGATTACAGTTGTGAGCTACCACATCTAGCTGTTCGTTTAATGATCAGATTTGGGAGTTTGTTCTCCTGTGGAGTCTTGGAGACTGAAGTCTTATTCTTTTGATAGTCCTCAGAATGGCTCCCAGGAGAGCATTGAGATGCTTTTGAGCAGCAAAACACACATATTTACAACTCTATCACTCTTTTGATAAATGCCCAACTGATGATTATGACCCATTGAGCAAGGAGTTAGTACTACTAGATCAGATTGTCTTCTTGTTCCTAAGCAATCAAACACAATTCTAGTATGGAGTGGTGTTGACTGACAGGAAAAAATAAGAGCTTCTTATCCCTGATTACACTGTACTTAAGATATCAATTTTTGGTTTTCTCATTGAAAATGGCACCATATATGTGGGGGCAGAGCCCTCTCCACTTGTGGTTGGTAACATGGGATTCTTATTTCATCTCTTTAG